TCATTATTTTCCTTGAGATTCTAGGCCTCTTACTCCCCCAAATTAATTTTATGATTTTGCCTAGCTCTATAAAGTATCCCCTTGGTAGTTTGGTGTAAACCTAATTATGTAAGTTCATTTGGGTAGTATATCAATGTTACCATATCGATGTGGCCCAACCATCAGCATTGAATATCCCTCCCGACTATTGAAGTTGTTTTTTAAGAATGTTTTGTAATTGTGTTTACATAAGTCTTGAGTATGCTTCGGTAGATTGAACTTCCCTTTTTCTTGTGAGGGTTCTCCTCCTCCTGGTACCAAAGTTTACAGTCTTGTTCCTCTTCCTCACACTGCATACATATCTAACCTGTTGCCAAATCCTGAGAGTCACTGTCTTTCACCAGAAAGCATCCTGGCTCTAGAATCAAAGAATGTGTGTTCAGATCTCCTCTGTCAAGCTTACTTACTGTGTCTGCAACCTTGGGCAAGTCACTTAACCACCAGGGATCTCGGTTTCCTCATCTGTAGAGATGGCTTTTGAAGTCCCTCTCCTTCTGAAGCTGTGATCCTGTGATCCTTTTAATTCTACCTCCAGGCCTTTTCTTGTATCCATCAGCTTCTCTGCACACAGTTGGTTGATCCTGCCAGAGCCATTGTAATAGCCTCCTAACTGGTCTTCCTAATTCTAGCCTCTGCCCTTTCCACTCCATCTTCCACACAACTGCCAAAGTTATCTTCCTAAGGCACAAGCCTGACCATGACACTTTGCTGCCCAGAAATCTTCAGGGGCCCTCTATTTCCTTGAGAAGAACCTACAAACTGGTCGTGAAGGCTCTCTATAATCTGACTCTGGCTCCTCCCCTTCATGCACTCTCCATCCCAGCCGAAGTGAACTGCTAGTGCTTTCTTCATTTCTCCATGTCTTTGTACTGGTTGAATGGAATCTTTCCTCATCCCTGCCTTTCAGAATCCTTATCTTCCTTCAGGGTTCACCTTAGGTACTACTTTTTCTGCAAAATCTTCTCTTATTCTCCCGGGTGTAGGTGCTCTCTCCCTCATACTTATCTGTGCATGTATGGTAACTACAACACACACACACACACACACACACACACACACACATGCCCCACTCCAGTAGAATGGAAGCTTACTGAGGATAGGGACTAGTTTGGTTTTTGTCTTTGTATTCCTGGTACCTAGCAGAAGAACTTACACATAAAAGGCATTTAATAAGTATTTATTGGATTGAATCTGATGAATATTTTTGACCACAACAACTCACTAAGGCTGTCTGCTAATGCATAGAATGGTTATTGTTTGCCTCAGTGGAAGAGCACACACACAAATGAAATCATGACTCTTGGAAGTAGTCAAGTATGTACAAAGCGCTGTGTTAGATGCTGAGGGATGAAGATAAATAAGACACAGTTGCTGGCCAGGAGCTAGGAGTTCCAAGGATTGTTACTTTCTGGAGTGGAAACATGTGCCATCTATGTGTCTTCCTGGGTCACATAGAATGATGGGGAGGAAACGTGAAGCTATCAGATGAGGAGCCTCTCACCCCTTACAGCAGCAGCAGTAGACGCCAAGAGGTGGCTTTGAAAGCTCCCTTCATGTAATAAACTTTGACTAAGCGTGAGATGTAACAAAATTTAAATAAGCCACAGTGTAGTAAGATACAAAGATAGCTATAATACAGTGCATTGGAGAATTATGAAAGAAAATGCATTATGAGTTCTGGGAAGGAAGGCTATTACTGATTGGGGGATATGGGCTATATTGTTTAAAGGATAGATAAGAAGGAAGGGAAGGACAATCCAGCGTAGGGAACAATGTGAACAAAGTCAGGCATTCAGGACGTGTGCAAAGTTCATTTTGACTAGATTGTAGATTGTTTGGAGGGGAGTAATAGAGGTCTGAGGAGGTCAGATGGCCTATATTATAGAGAGCCTTGAATGCTAGGCTAAAGAGTTTTGAACTGTATTTAGGAGGAAGATCTCATACTCAAGATATACAAAGAACGCATTCAGATTTATAAGACCAAGAGTCTTCCCCTCGTAGATAAATTGTCAGATATGAGTGGGGCAGTTTTCAGAGAAAGAAATCTAAGTCAGCAACAGTGTGTAAAAAATTGGCAAAGGTGGAAGAGAAAATGCGAGTTCTTGGAAGAGCTATGAGAAAACAGGCACATTAATGCACTGTTGGTAGAGCTGTGAATTGGTCTAGCTGTTCTGGAAGGCACTTTGGAACTGTGCCCCAGAAGTCACTAAACTATGCTAAACTGTCACTAAACCATTGACATTGTTGGCCTATATCCCAAAGAAATCAAAAAAAGAGGCCCATATGTACAAAAATATTTATAGGCAGCTCTTTTTTTGGTGGCAAAGAACAGGAAACTAAGGGGATGCCCATCAATTGGGGAATCGCTGTACAAATTATGATATGTGAATGTAATAGAATATCATGTTATAAGAAATGACAAAAGACATGATGGCAGAGAAACCTGGGAAGATCTATATGAACTGATACAGAGTAAAATGAGCAGAACCAAGAGAGCAAGTTATGTGATAGTAATATTATGAAGAAAATAACTTTAAAAGAATTAATGCTTATCAGTGAAAACAGTTCCAGGTTACCAATGATGAAACATGTTATTCACTTCCTGATAGCGAGCCGATGTTCTCAAAATGCAGAATGAGACATACATTTTTGAATGTGGCCAATGCAGGACCTTGTTTTGTTTAACTATGTATATTTGTTAACTGGAGATTTGTTTTCTTTTTTTCCCCCTAAATTGAGGAGGGGAAGCTGCCTGGAAGAGGGAGGTTAGCAATAGTGTTGCTAAAAAAGAGGGTTATTGAAACTTTTTTTTTTAAAGCACAGAAGAAAGAGGCCCTACTGTGTCACGTGACCCTTACACGACCACCAGATCACCCCCTCCTGGGGCTTTTCCATGTTGTCCTTGGCAGTGAGTATTGTTCCATTATATGCTGAACTTGTCAAGACTGCCAGAAATATTTTCAGCAAAGGATTTAGTGTGGGATTGGTGAAACTGGATGTGAAAACAAAGTCTTTCAATGGAATGGAATTCTTATTATCTGGTTCATCTAATACAAGCACTGTAAACTTAAGGGGATTTTGTAAAGTAAATATAAATGATGTGAAATCAGAAAAATGGAACATTGATAAATGATTAGAACTGAAATCTCCATGGCAGATCAGATTCACCAAGTTTGAGGTTGACATCTTAACACTGCCTTCTCACCAAACTCAGGAAAGAAATAAAAGCAGTTAAAGTTTGCTTGCAAACAGCAATATATAAACCTTGCCTACAACACTAACTTTGGTTTGGCTAGACCAGCAAATCCCAAGTCAGCTGTTTTTTATTATTTAAACAGGCTTGCTGGTCACCAGATGACCTTTAAAAGTGCCAAGTCAAAGTTGACTAGGAATAACTTTGCAGGGAATTACAGGGCTAGATCCTTCCAGCTGCACACTGATGTCAGTGATGGAACAGAATATGGAGGTTCTTTTCATCCGGAGTAGGCAGCTAGGTGGCGCAGTGGATAGAATGCCGGACCTGAACTCCTGAGTGTAAATCCAGCCTCAGACATTTACTAGCTGTGTGACCCTGGGCAAGTCTGTTTGCTTCGGTTTCCTCATCTGTAAAATGAGTTGGAGAAGGAAATAGCAAAATACTCCAAGAAAACCCCAAATGGGGTCACAAAAACGTGGACACTGGTGAAATAACTGAACAACAGCAAAATTCATCAGAAAGCATGTGATGATCTTAATACTTCCATAAACCTAGCTTGGACAACATGTCCCTCTTGTACTCCCTTTGGCATTGCAGCTAATATCAGATGGATGCCATTGCTTCTATTTCTGTACAGGTCACCAGTTCTAGTTTCACTAAAGTTGTCTACATTCAGATACACCCTGAAGCCTTGTGTGAAGCTCATGTCGTTTGCTCTGGTTAAAAAGAAAGACTATTTAGTGCTAAAGGCCACGGGCTGGAGCTCACCTTAGAGTCAGAGCCTTAGGACGACTGAAAAAAACCCATGGGTAGGGGATAGCAGAAAATTTGACCATGAAATGTATTTGCATTGTTACCAGTAGGCTTTTTTTCCAAGGTAGATGATTTAAATAAGAAATGATCCAAATAAGAGCTGTACTTTGAATATTTAGACACTTAACTTGCTGGTTTCTGATTAAGTTAATTCTCTGGTTATCAGTGCTGCAGTAGTGCAGTCACCTATACATCATTTAAATATAATAGACCTTTATGGATACTGAAAAAAATGTACAGAAGAAAACAAGGAAAGACAGAAGGAATTACAAACAAGCAGTGCAGCTTTGAAAGTTACGTCAGATTTATCATATACTTTAAAAGAAAAGCAAACCACATAATAGAGATTCAGTTTCATCTTCTACTATATACCGTAGTATATATATACTATATACATGTGTTCTACTATACATATAGTGTGTGTGTGTGTGTACACACACACACACACATGCACGCACACACAGATGGAAATGTTCATTTTCTTTTGTATTTGTTAAGTTCAGATTTTAAAAAATAAAAATTTGAAACTTTGGTAGACAGTAGGGAACCCCTGGATATTTTTGACATGACAAGTGGCAACATTTTTGTGTGAAAAAAATGATTTCACATGGATTGGAGAGGGGAGAGAGTGGATGTGAGGAAGGCCTATTGTGGTGTTCCAGGTGAATACTAACGAAGGCCTCTCCTAGTGATGACAGGAGAGGGACACAGAGGTATCGCAGAAGTGAAATTGATGGAATTTTTTAACTGATTAGATAAGAAGGATGAAAGAGAAGGATGAGTTAAAGATAATAACCAAGGTTATGAACATGAGAGGTAGCTTATAGTGGGAGAGGATCAGTAGATATGGATATGAAGAATAATAGGTAGCATTGTTTCAGAGTTTACAAAGTACTGTCCTCAACTTCCCTGTGAGGTAGCTAATGTGACCATTCTTATCTCCATTTTACAGATGAGGAAGCCAAGGCTCCAGTCAGTTAAGTAACACACCTTCAGGAGCATTTAGTAATCCGCAGAGTGAGCCGTCTCACTTCCACTCCAGTGCCCTCTCCTGCGGGTGGTCGCCTTCTGCAAGCCTCTCTTTTAAAGTGTCTAATCATGAACACCTCCCAGGGCACTGTGGGCAGTGACCCTGTCATCCTTGCCACGGCCGGCTACGACCACACTGTACGCTTCTGGCAGGCACACAGTGGGATATGTACCCGCACAGTGCAGCACCAAGACTCAGTATCCTTTGGAGTGTAGTGCCCTTCCAGGTTTGGGGACTCAGGCCTGGCCTATGGAATAAGGGCCATTGCTACTCTAGAGCTTGAGCTCTGGAGCCGGATCAGCTAGTGTGGGACAGGGGGTGCTGTAGGAGTGAGAGGAGGGTCAAACACCATTCCTGCCCCAGGGAGTGCTCACTATGAGACACTGTGTTGTGATTGAGGCAGCTGTGTGTTGACTCAGAGTTAAGAAGACATGAGATTGAAGCTTGCCTTAGACATTTGTGAGCTGAGTGACTATAGGCAATCCACGTAAGCTCTCTGGGCCACAATTTCCTTATTTATAAAATGAGGCAGTTGGACTCCATGACATATGAGATGCCTTGTAGCTCTAAATTTATGACCCTTTAAGTCAGGCCTATACAATATATGGCCTGCAAAGGATTTCAGGCAGCCCATGAAAAATGTAGAGGACGTAAAACGGGCCTGCACAACATACCACCCGTGGGCCGCTTTGGCGGGCCGTGTGCTGTACATACCTGCTTTAAGTCTTACTTACTTTTGTATGGGGATCTTAGGGAATCATGTTGTTCAACCCTCTCGTTTTACAGAGAAGGAAACTGAGGCCCAGTGAGGAGAAATAACTTGTCCAAGGAGATAGATCAAGTTAATGGCAGAGGCAATACTAGCATCAAGTTAGTCTCAATCAGTAAACATTTATTGAGCACCTACTGTGTGCCAGATATAAGCACTGACTCTGTCCGGCACTCTTTCTATTCCTCTGTATTGCCTCTTGAGAGATGGGTGAGGACTATAGTAGTTGGACAAGGAAGGCTTCCTGTAGGAAATGGGATTGGAATTGGGCCTTGAAAGATTTGAAGAGTCTGATGAGGGAGGAAGATGAGAACAGCATGGGTAAAGATGTAGGGGCAAGAAGGGAGCAGGAGGAGGGAGGGGGAAGGCAAAGTTAGGTTAAGAAGGCCTCGAATGCCGGGCTAAGCAGTTTGGCCTTGCTGCTTAGGGCCATGAGAGCCCTATCTTGTGGATGTGTTTTGTATGTGTTTGTTCCTCTTCATGCTCTGCCTCCCCACCTGTCCCAGGCCCGAGGCTTCTGCCCGAGGCAAGGGCTTCCAGCTATTTGTCTTGTCACAGTCTGGCTTTCTGGTAGCTTAATGAGCAGTCTGGGTACTATCGAAATGTTATAATAGCACCTTTTGTTCTGCCCCAAGCTCTGTCCTCAGTCACCTTAACCTAACCACCTAGCAAGTGAATGCCCTGGAGATTACCCCAGACAGAAGCATGATTGCCGCTGCAGGTACCCATGCAGGACCAGATGGGATGAGGGAGCATCCTGGATTAGCACCAATTACAAATCTTTGGCACCAAGCCAGACCAGTGCCCTCTCAGCCAGGGCCTGAAAGTGGCAGGCCCTGCAAACCCTATTATAGTGATAATATTGGCATGATAGAGGTGGGCTATGGGTTGTAACATGAAGCAGCCTCTCCCAAGGTTTAGTGAGCTGGACGTTTCAAAGATTGGCCACTGTTCCCACTACTGAGATGGGCAAGAGGCGAAATATCAATGCCAAGAACCTCATACAGGAAGCTCTGCCACCTCCTGAGTCCTAGCCTTGCCACCCAGCTGGTCAGGCAGTAGGCACAGCAAAACCACTTGTCTTGCTGATTCCTCTTAATATGGTAAGATGGAGAGGTGTGGATGCTCTGGGACAGAGTGAGGGAATCAGTGCCCTAGCATAAAGCCTTGAAGCTCTTGGAGGGATATCTCTTGTTCTTTCCTCTCCGTTCTGGGCCAGGGTGTAAGGAGAGATATGTTGGTGGGTGCCTTCTGCCCCGGCCCCTGGCCACCCCCCCCCCAAGTAGATCATGCTGTCAGTCATTTGTCTTCAAGGCTTCATTGCCATCAGCCTGGCTTTCTCTTATGTCTACCCATGGCTCCTTGAGGGAAGTCAGTCTCACCCTGGGCTCTTGCCACTAGTCTTGGGAGGCCAGGGTAAGAGGGTAACTGGTAAGGCTGCACCTGTTTCCCTCAGGTTACCAGCACATACGAATGTATGATCTCAATTCCAATAACCCCAACCCTGTCATCAACTACGATGGAGTGAGCAAGAACATTACCTCTGTGGGCTTCCATGAGGATGGCCGCTGGATGTACACAGGAGGAGAGGACAGCATGGCCAGGATCTGGGACCTTAGGTACCAACCCAGGGACCAGGGGAACACCTGTCTATGTCTGGGTAATGGGGGACTAAAGAAGGCCCAGTGTAGTTTGAGGAATAAAGAAATGAAAATGGTTCGGCCCACTCTGGAAAAACCGGGGATGAGGCCCTTGTCCCAGGAATCAGAGGAGCATGTTAGGCAGATTATTCCTGCGTCTCAAACAGTATTTTTGAGGGCCTGCCTACCTGCTTAGATCCTCTGAGCTGAAGTGAGAAACACCTGTTCCTCCATAGAGTGTCAGACCTGGAGCTGCAGCTCAGCAGGGGGCTGCCACACTCCCAGAACCCAGTTCTCCAATGACAGGCCTTTTGGGGCTGCTAATTGCTCCTGGGGGTCTGGGTTTTCTGGCAGCTCAGGGTAAGCGGTCAGAGTGACTGTCAGCTGCAAGGTAAGCTGGTGCATTGGCACTGCCTCAAGCACCAATGTGAGTTTGTACTTGATGCCAGGTCACGGAATCTCCAGTGCCAGCGAATTTTCCAAGTGAATGCGCCCATTAACTGTGTGTGTCTGCACCCCAACCAGGTAACCTGCTTCCCGCCCCTGCCCCTGCCAGGAACCTCCTCTGTCCATGGTAGTCGCCACAAGTGAGCGCTGTCTGGGCCTGGTGCACTTGCCTGAAATGGGCTGGTCTCTGGAGTGTTTCTCCTTGGAAATGGGTTTTGTGGGTGTATGTGAGTCTGAGTCTTCTCTAGGCAGAATGAGGTGATGGGGAGCTTTTGTGAGGAGGCAGGTGAGTGGGTGTTCCTTCTTCCATACCTGCTTCTTGGTGTCCGGCTATCAAGAGTGTGGCTGAATAGCAGTGACTGGAACAGTGGAGTGTGAGTCATGTGCTGAGCAGGCCTGCTGCTGTTCAACTCTTGATTCACATTTTCCTTTTGGGGACATCAGTGAATGAAGGAAAGTAAAAGGGGAGACACAGGGTGCGATCCAAGAGTACCAAGCCCCTGGAATGAGCCACAGCAACATGCTATGGTCAGAAAGCTTTGCACCAAACAGTTAAAGCAGCACCAAAAATCAGACTGAAACTCAAACCAGTCCCTGTGCAGGGCGATGAAGTCCAGTCCATTGATTCTGTCCTTTAGATGTCAGATGGGCCCTTCCACTGCGGGTTTGGGCATGGGAGGTCAGAGGTCTGCCCTCAGGTCATTTGGGGGGCATCAGAGACTGATCCTGCCATCCATGCAGGCTGAACTGATTGTGGGTGACCAGAGCGGCGCTATCCACATCTGGGACCTGAAAACTGACCACAACGAGCAGCTGATTCCTGAGCCCGAGGTCTCCGTGAATTCAGTTCACATTGACCCTGATGCCAGTTACATGGCAGCTGTCAACAGTACAGTAAGAACCATTTGGTTTTTTTCCCACTTAGGGACTGTCCTCTGCCCTGCCACTGTTTGCATAGCTCCCAAACTTCTCTGTGAGCCCAGTCCTATGGTCAGCTGTGCAGGAGGGAAGACCCCAAGCTCCTTCAGCAAGAAAAGGAGGCTGAAGAAATCTGCAGAGCCCTGCCAACCACTCTAGAGTCCACCCCCTTGGTCTGTGGTCTCCTTAGAGAGACTTATCACTGAAGGACTCTGCCAATGAATTTGCATGCTCTTAGCCTGGCCAAACCCTGCCCAGGTCAGATTGGCTCCCCATCTTTCCTAGTCCAAACCAGCTCTCCCATCCCAGGCCTCCTCACATGGCCACACCTGGCCTGGCTCCCAGAGGCTCATGCTTTCCTTGTGGACACACTTTTGGGAGGTAACTACCTCAGCTTCAGGTGCTCCGAGCTCCCTCTTCAGTACCACAAGCTTTGGGCTGAGTCAGTACTGGCCTTTGTCTTTCCTCCTGTTCATGTGTTGACATTCAGCCCCATCATGGGATGACTGACTTGAGGCAGGCCTCAGAGAACCTTCAAGCCCTCTGGGGAAAGTCACCTCAGAATTTCCCTTCTACCTCTGTCTCTTTGACTTTGTAGGGAAACTGTTATGTTTGGAACTTGACCGGAGGCATTGGGGAAGAAGTGACTCAGCTGATTCCCAAAACCAAAATTCCAGCTCATACGAGATATGCCCTGCAGTGTCGGTTCAGCCCAGATTCCACGTGAGTGCAGAGCAGGACCACTAGTGGAGGGAATCGGGCTAAGGCCCAATAAACACCACACCTCTGTTTTCCAGCAAGGCATCTGGCGTTCTTTTACAGTATCCTGGGAGACAGGATGAAGAAGTGTAACTCACAGGATACTGCAGTAAGGTGGCATCGTGGTCCACTGAGTGACTAGGCCCAGGGACTATTTTATCTTACTAAGCACCTTCCATGGTCACTGGAGCTCAAGTAAGACATGCATGTTAATAAGGACAGTGCAAAGCAGGCTATGCCAAGGACCACAAGGAAAGTGCTCTGCTACCTGATAACAGGGGGAGACAGCTTCCACTTGGGGCAGCCAGTGAAGACATCCTGTGGCAGAACCATATGGTACAGATGAAAGAACATTGAAACTGCAGTCAGGAGAACTGGGTGAAGATCCTGGTGTAGGTACCGATTAGCCATGTGACCTTGGGCAAGTGAGACTCCAGAGTCAGCTTAAATCTGATATACTTCACAAACAAGTCACAACTCAACTCATATTTTTATGGCACACCTAAGAATTGTAAATAGTGTTTACTAAAAATATTCCAGCCTAGCGCATCATTCCAGACTATCTGGAATTTCATAAATTTGAGCTAATCTCTTTCCAGCTCAAAATCCTGTAAGCCTATGAATGGTGTCAACCTACTGGGACATCTGTCAGGGTGTGCCCCAGGGTTCTGTCTTTGGTCAGTTTTATGTTTGGTTCAGTCTTGGGTGAAGGTATAGATTGCATGCTCCTCAAATCTGCATGTAGTATAGTGCAGGGAGAGGTAACTAACAGGTTGGTTAACAGAATCAGGATGTCAGAAGGTCACGATGGGCAGAATCAAAGATAGTTGGAAAGTAAAGAGGATAAAAGTGGCCTTGTGCTTAATTAGGTTCAGAAAATCAACTGCACAAATATAGGATGGGAAGACATGAGTAGCTAGTTCACAGTGACGATAAGCTCAGCGTGGTCAGTAGTATGATTTGGTGGCCAAAGGAAAATTGCTGTGATCCTGACTGAGGGAGGTCATAGTCCTGCTGAACTCTGCCATGACAAGACCCTGTCTGGGATGTCGCTTTCAGGATGGGATGCCATATCTTAAAAGGGACATGGATAAACTGTATGGAGGAAGGTAACTAGGATGAAGGCAGAATCATGCCTTAGTACCTAGGAATGTGTACCCTAAAGACTAGGACATATAATTGCTACCTCCAGTTATCTGAAGGGCTGTTGTGAGGAAGGGCAGTTATACTTATTTTGAGTGGTTCCAGAGGCAAGTATAAGGACTAACGCATGGAAGTTTGAGGAAAGTACATTGGAGCTCATTATAAGGAAGAAATGCCTGTGGCTGTATTGAGATATAGTGAGTTATTTATCACTGTTAAGTACTGAAGCAGAAGCTAGATGATCATCTATCAGAGATTTTCTACAGGAAATGTGAGCCTTAGGCAGAGAGCGCTCAGAAATTCCAGTGATGTTCACCCTTTCCTCTCCCAGTAAACCACCTGTAGGGAACCGAAGAAGGAGCATAGGTACAGGCAGACTCTCAGGCCCGTGGCCTGACTTGGCCTCCTGTGAGCCTTGGGCAGGCCATTTAAATTCTCTAAGCCAGTTACATAATCTGTAAAATGTGGCTTTTAGTACCTGCACTCCCTACCTCACAAGGTTGTGAGAAAAGCACTTTGAAACCATAAAACACTATATAGAAATACTAAGCATTTCTTAAGAGGAACATGTATTTAGGCAGTGCACAGAAGTGTGGTGCTTCCGGGCTGAGCCCCTGGGTCTCAGGGATGCCTTAAGATCCCGTCACAGCCATTGGACCCTTCCTTCTCGGATTTTCTCCTTCCCCATTACTTCCTACCCTCTTTGTTATTTAAGACCTAGATGTCAGACAAGCAGCCTGAGGCTCCCATAGTCCCAAGTGCCAAACCATTAAAATGTAATTGGGAAATAGTTAACAAAGTGTACAGTAGAACATAGAGAATGTTAATGGGTCATTTTCTGAGCCAGTCTGTGGCATGGGGGGGGGTCCTTATGCAGGGTTTAGCGAACCCCATTTCGGCTGTCAGCCTGGTATGCTCAGTCTAGTGAAGACAGCTAACTTGGGGCGAGTCCTGTGAGATGTGAGCCAGGATGTCCAGTCAGCCATAGGGAAGGCCTGGTGGTTTGGGATGGGTCCGCTGGTAGAGCACTTAGGAGCTCTAACTTTCCCACAGGCTCTTGGCCACCTGCTCAGCAGACCAAACGTGCAAAATCTGGAGGACCTCCAATTTCTCTCTGATGACCGAGCTGAGCATCAAGAGCAACAATCCTGGGGAGACTTCGAGAGGCTGGATGTGGGACTGCGCCTTTTCTGGAGACTCTCAATACATTGTAACAGGTGAGCTTCTGCATCACAGGGCACTCGTTGGGGCCTTGGTCCTATACCTTCTAGACTTAGAAACCAGACAGCAGAAATCCCAGCCTTCTGAGCTGGGTCTCTGCCATGGGGACACTTTGAGATAAGGCTGTGGTCTCCCAGAAAGCTAGGGCTTCAAAATCCTCATATTGGCCTTAGTAAATAAAGCCTAGCCTGGGGTCTGTACTGTCATGCCAGCCTCCGATAGGGAAGTGTGGGGTTTGGAGTCAGGGCTGTGTACTTTTACTGGCAGATCATGTTAGAGGGACCATGGCCCTGAGGACAAGACACATCCATTGTGGGCAAGGAGAGGAGGGAAGTGACAGAGCAGTATTCTAGTTCCCTTTGGGAAGAACCTTCTCTTGGCCTGAGGCTTCCCCCCACCCCTCCAGTAATGGGACCTTTTTTCCTCTTATCTCTAGCCTCCTCTGACAATTTAGCACGGCTGTGGTGTGTGGATACAGGAGAGATCAAGAGAGAGTATGGTGGACACCAGAAGGCTGTAGTCTGCCTGGCATTCAATGACAGTGTCCTGGGCTAGCCTGAAAGCCTCCTGTCTGCCCTTGGGCTTTCAGGGAACAGGACCTGCTCAAGACTGCACTGCTAGTCAAAGAAATTGGGCTTTTCTGACCATGGAAAGTCTCAGCTTCAGCTCAGAGCAGAATATGGTCTCTACCCCTTCTTGGTCTGAGGGCACTGGAGAACAGTTCACAGGAATGGAACTGGGGGAAGAGAAAAGGAACCTTGGGACTGAGCCTCCCACTGGCTGGTTATAGGGCAGTTTATGACCCTACCAGGGGCTTCCAGCATGGCCAGGACATTCCTTTTATATGTGTATGTACATATATACAAATAGATATCTCTTAGACGGAGAAGAGTTGGACATTAAAGAGCCAGTTGCATCTGGTACCTGTGCATACAGCCTCATCAGCTTCAAGAGTGAAGCAGTTCGGGGCAGCTAGGTGGTACAGTAGATAGAGCACCGGCCCTGAAGTCAGGAGTACCTGAGTTCAAATACAGCCTCAGACCAGACCCTTGACACTTACTAGCTGTGTGACCCTGGGCAAGTCACTTAACCCCAATTGCCTAAAAAAAGAAAAAGAAGAAGCAGCAGTTCTCTTCAGGCTCCACCCCTCAGCCTCATCCTTAAACCTAACTTAACTCTTTACCTGCCGTACAGAGAGTTTGGTGTGGAAGGAGTAAACCCAGATGGTGCCCAGTCCAGCTGAGCTGTTGAAAAATAGAAAGGGTGGACCAGGCCTTGGAGACCTGGGACAGCAGGTCCAGAACATGGCTGCTTAGAGGTGGCAGGCTTAGAAACTCTGATTGCCCCTAAGACTGGGATGGAGGCACCTTGCCAGCTACTGCTTCTTAAGGATAGAAGGGTGTGGGGCTGGCTCCTGATCCCGGGAAGAGACTGCAAAATCCCCAAGGCTGGGATAGGATATGTCCAAGCCATCAAGTCAGCACAGGATCAGGACATTTGTGATCATTTTATTCAGGATTAAAACCAAGCTCTCCCCAGCACCTCCTGTATTAATAGAAAAACCCTGGTTTCCAGTAGAGAGACTTTCAAACCTGGCCTACAGCCCACTGGCTTGGCACTAAGGACCAGCTGCCCCACCCATGGACCTGGGGGGATTATATCCCTGCTTCAGTGCCTGATTCCTGCAGTGACCAGGGACAGGCCAGGGCAGGCAGGGAAAAGAGAATCATCCAAGGTGCCTAGCCCTAAGGTTATTCCTAATCTGGAAGATAATAAAAGCAGACAGACACACAAATGTTGCTTGGAAAACAAATGTCAATGCAGAGATAAATTAATCTCTGTTTCCGTGAACCTGTAAAGAAAATGTCCAAAATTAAATATCCCCCAAATTGAGACATGAAAATCTAAGATTCCATCTCTGACCCCAGGCATTTCTATTTCCACCCCCATCGTACTGTTCGTACTTCATTGCCCTTCCTCCATTTCCCTTCCTGGGCCCGTGCTAATGAGGAAGAAGAGAAGGACCAGAGGGCTGGGGACGTTGTTTTGGTACATCTGTTTCCTTTCATCTGTCTCTCCTGAGTGTTCCATCTCCTGGATATCTTTAGGAATTTACTCACCTGCCCTTTGCACCCAGTAGATGGGGAGTTGGTCACAAAGGTTCTGAACTGGTCCTCCTACCAGAGCAGGGTCCACTTCATTCCCCCCTAGCACCCCCAAAAACTCTTGAGTATATCTGGTATCTTTGTTGGGACCCAGTGGCCAGTCAGCCTGAAGGAGAAATTAAGCATTGTGAGCAGAAGGATCTAAATAGCACCGAAGGTGGGAAGATCTGAGTGGGCCAGAGCTGGGGGATTCCTCCTAGCAGTGCCCACATTTTTCCATGGCTTCTCTAACCCCATCTCAAGCTGGAGGGAAGACTCCCATACAGGTTAATCTTGTGTTGTTGATAGAGCAAGGGGAGCTAGGGTCAGGGATTTCTCAAAGCCAAGGACACCCCCACCTCCCAACCCCATCTGGATGCTCTGTACTGTCACTGCCCCCTCATTATTGGGAGAGGAAGGGGGCAGGAAGTCTCCCAGTCCACCCTAGCCCTACCCTACCCATTGTCCCTGTAAGAAAACCCAGGGTATCTATCATCGGGTACAGCCGAGGGAAGATAAGAGTCCTCTGTTCCCCTGAAACCAGAGCCCTACTCTCTCTGCCCTCCCAGCATGGCAGAGGGAAAGTCATCAGTCACTGGGGGGCAGGAAACAGGGGCCTTTTGTCTCCATCCTCCCAGCCCTTCCTTACACTACTGTAACTGAATCACAGGGGTATGGGGGGCAGCCAGCTGAACTTTGGCGTTTGCATCCTGGCAGAACGTTGCATGGCGAGCAAGGTCCCTCACCTGAGAGGTGTTGAGGACCACCTTCAGGGTCTCTCGGTCCCAGGTCTCCATTCTCCGCAGAAAGCAGGCCCTTTGTTCCCCAGGGCGATAACACACATAACCCTGGGGGCAGTAGTAGAGGTGTTTGAGGAAAGACAATCCCTTAAGCCTCTGGGGGGCTCACAACATCTCCCCACCCCAAGTCCTGGAACTAGAGAGACAGCATCCCATTTATAGACCTGGAAAGTGGGTGAATGGCTGGCTTGAAGTGTGTTCCCCTTACCTATTCAAGTCATACCTAATGTAGGTAGGGGAGGTTGACTCACGTTGTGGCTGTCATATAGCACGGCCCAACTATGGTTGTTCTGAGGTGGGGTCACCACATAGGTCACTGTGTCCTGGGCCGGGTCCACTGTGGCTGTCTGGTTGGGCCAGGAGGTAGGAGGACTCAAGAATGTCCATCGAACAGCCTGCAGCATAGGCTGTGGACAGTGGGTGAGTTCAGAAGGGAGGGGATGGGCAAAAGAGGAGTCCCCAAGTTCCAGTGATGTTCTGGAGACACAGTCCCTCCCTCATATCTACTGTCCACGTCCATCTCATCCAAGCATGAATAGGGAAAGCTAGTTTCAGGCAAACTAGAAGCAGGTAAGAGATTCACAACCCAGTAGTTCTAGTTCCCGTCTCTGAACACGCAGCCTTAGGTGTGGGTTGAACTGCCGAATTCAGTAGAATTCAGACCACCTCGTGCCTGAGCCCGAGCCACCAACTTTCCCAGGACAATGTATCTCAGAAGGCTCCTGCCTCATTCCTCTTACACCTAAGGTACAGGGCGGCTGGGGGCAGGGACTTACCTCAGCAGGGCTGTGTGCCAAGCCAAGGAGCCCACCGACTACAGCTCCGGCCAAAGCCAGCAACAGTAGCAGCAACGCCAGACCTAGGACTGGCCAGGGTGACCCTAGAAGCAGCTTGGAGCTCACCTGGGGAAGGCCACGAAGGACAATATCAAAGCTAACTCTTTCCTCCTCCCCACCCTCCCACCCCCCTGCATTTTGCAGGGGAATTCTAAATCAGGTCTCAGATATAAATAGAGCCAGGAAAGGAAAACTCTTAAACGATTACTAGACTGTAACAGTAAGAGATGTATCCAAGAATATGCAAACATATGCTTCCACAAATCTATAATGTACACAGTGCAAATTGCCCTGTGCTTAACAAGGGAGCTGCTCCCCAGATAAGGGGCATCATATTACTCGTGTTACCCCTAGGGAGTTTAATAGGTCAAGGGGTAGGAGACACTCACCTTGGAGAGCCCTTGCCCCTGAGCCCCAGGTCCGCTGCTCTGTCCCTCCATGCTGCAGCCTAGGCTCTGCTCCCACTCACAATGTCTGGATTGTACTTGGCCCTGCCCAACCTGGCTCCTTAGAGCCAGCCACAGAAACCCAAGGATGTGTCCATCAAAGCCAAACAAACAGAATCTTCCTGGAGGACCCTCAGATCTTTTCCCCCCACTCCCTACCTGCGTCACCTGACACTGACATCTCAGGGCGAGACCAGCCAGGATCCCCCCCCTTCTCCATGCTCCAAATACACTCACAGGTGGAGAGAGTTTCTGTCACAGTCCCTTCAAGAACAGCCACCCAGTTTATCAAGGGAGGTCACAGGGCCTAGCTACGAGCCTGAATGTCAGGCTTTCTCCAGACTTCTATTTTGTATAAGCATGTGCATGCACATACAAGCCTACTCTTAGGAGCCCCTACTTGGGCTGTGCTAATAGATCTGTGTCCAGTTTTATAAGAACATTGGCCTGTACTACTTACTATGCTGATGAGTCCAACTCAATTCCATTTATTAGCCATGTAGCTATAGAGTCTATGAAGTGAGAATAACAAGTGCTTCCTAAATTCAGCAGAAATATGAGCTAACAGTCATTTTGTTGGGCAGCTGTGGCAAAGATAAAAATTGTGGTATAGAACATAGTGTAAATCAACATATCTGGGGCATTTTCCTAATGACCTCCAGCTAATGCTGGACCTCAAGAATAGTTTAGTTGTGCCTTTTCATTGGGAAAGTGGGGACACCCAGGTTTGATCTGGATCCAGATATTTGCCACAGGTAACTCATAGATATGTTCAAGAATTGAAGACAAATGTCATCTCCTGAGTTCACATTGAAGGCCTGTAAGGAGAGGCTGGGGTCTGAGATTGCTTGAAATTTACACAATGGTCTTCCACAAAGCTCACCAATACCAGGAAAGGGCCTTCAACTCAGTGAACATGGCAGCAAGAGACCAAGAGAATGGCACAGGGCCATGTGACATAGTGAAAAATGGAGTAGGAAGTGTAGGTTCACTGATCTATCATTAGCTGTGACACTTAAAAACTTGTTGGGCCTTAGTTTCCTTATTTTGTAAAATGAGAGATGTGGACCCTGTCAACTCTTAACAGTCTTTGAATCTAGCCATGGCTTCCTTCCTTCAGGAGTTACTGGCTCTTTTAAGGTTGCTCTGTCCACAGCACCATCTATTCCAGATTTTGTCGGCATATGCTATATACTTGTCTTCACACTTAAACTGGATTAAAGTTCACAACAGCTTCAGAAAAAAAAAACCACCCTAAGAGTCTGAGTAGGTTTGCAAATTTAATACGAATTCAGGTAAATACAGTGGGATGAGCCCCAGCGGGCGTGGAAGGTTCACAAACACTTTACCAGTACAGTTCCATGGCAAGTAGGACAACCAAGGGCCTAAGACTTCTGACCTAGGTAACTACCCCAAACGGGATATGTGATATTATACCTACTCCCTCTACTCTAGAATTGGGTTGTAACACTCTAATAGACCTGTTAAGAACCTGATCTGGAGGAGCCAAGCTTTTAAACCACAAAAAGATTTATTTTCTATAAATCACATATGAAGAGGGAGGCTGGGGTTGACTCATGGCATACACAGCTGACAGTGCCAAGGAACAGTACCTACTTACTGCCTGTAGCTGAGACTATGGAAGAAGCTGAAGAAACAGTAAGTGCTGTGTGTTTATTGCTATGGGAACAAACGTCTGTGGGCATATTTCAAGTGTGAATTTTTTTGTGAAGTCCTGCCATCATGCTGTGCAACCCCGTTAACACTGCTTAGTCTATCGGAATTCTGCTTTTCCTAGTATAGAACCACATTTCCACACTAAGGAGATACCCAAATGTTCCAGGGAAGGATCAGAAGCCTCCCTTGAGCCTCCACAGGAAGCTCCAAATGGTGGTGTGCACCTATAGGCACAGCTTCCAGCTTCTATAGGCCCTGGGCCTCCTACTGAAAGCCCAGCACCAAAAAGAGTGTACTTAAGTGTCTCCCCATACCATAGTCCAGGGTAAGTAGCAACTTTACACTGCTGGCATCTAAACCCCCAAAAGAAAGGGGCGTGTGTGTGTATGTGTGTGTGTGTGTCATAGGAAAAGGCTGCAAAGCTATATATAGCCTTGCACTGCTTTGGCCTTCTGCTTTTTAAAAAGACCCCACCCTCATTGGCTTGTTCCCACTACCAGACATGGCTGCAGTCATGCAGGTTGTTTCTTAAGATGAGGCACCTTTGTCAGTGGGAGTCAGAAGTCTGGCTTGTCTGAAGGAGACCCTGAAGCTCTTTCTCTCACCACCCACAGAAGTACTGCCAGCACATGTCCTAAGCAAGTATTTGAACTTTTAAATATTTTTCCTAGGATGTGAGAATAGCAATTAGTACATTTAAGATTTAATTCCGCCACTTTACAAAGTTGTTCAAAAGTAAAAAAATAGTTTTTGGTACCAACACCCACTTTCAGTTCACTAAACAGCGGTACTAAACAAGGAGCCTGGGTAAGGTGGACACCATTTGCATTCTCTGTAGTACACACTTAATAAACTGTTCTATATAATATACTTCACTTAATATTTTAAATAAATATAAGAGATGGATTGAGACTTCCTCAGGCCTTCTGAGCTCTCCTGAGATTTTACAGATACATGTGGATGGAGGCAAAGCAAGGCCCAAGGGCCCTGAATTTGAAATGTAACAAATGCCCATCTGTGACATCGACCAGGGTGCAGTTGTCTTGAAAGGGAATGGGCAAGAGGAAAAGAGACAGGGAGAGACCCTCACTTCAATGGAGGGTCTCCAAATGGGAGTGTTCCCTTTTCCTTCCCCAAGTCTTGGTAACCCTAAGGTGAAAGCCTCTAAGATGTGGCTCCACCTAGGACAAAAAGATGTTGAGGCTGGGCCTGGTTTGGTCTATACCAGTACTCAGAAGTCACAAAACAGCCTCACCTCCCTGCCTGAAAAAAAGGTTTATCCCTGAATAAACTTTGAATTTCAGATTTTTCTGAAAGAAATATGAACAAAGCCTGAAACACTCTCCCTTCCCTAACCTTGCTGCTTCAGTTACAACTCTGAAGTTAGCTGAATCCTGGGAAGGCAGGCATTGTGGTGGGCTCTCCCTCCCAACAAAACACAGTTAGGAGCCACTACAATGTTCCCCCTCCTTCTTTTCAAAGTGCATCTTAAAATAGAGGAAATCTGTAAACAAAATCATCCCCTCTGCTCCTCCCCTCCCCAGCTCAATTGCAAGGTTTACCAACTAAGATTTCTTAAATTCCAATACATTCTTTATACTCATCTAGATGAGTACATGCTCCAGCCCACCCATTAATTAAGGTAACTGATTTTTTATTCTTTATTTTGGAGATTAAAGACATTATAACTCTTTAATCTGCAAGCGCTGGTATAAGGTCAGCTATGCTGTCAACATAGAAATCAGGAACCATTTTGTTCCTGGAAGAACAGTCACTTCGCTGGTTGCCTTTCACATCCTCCAGGCTGGAGACACCAGTAAGAGTCAAGATGGTCTTGAGGCCACAGGTAACCCCCAGGAGGATGTCTGTATCTAGACGATCTCCCACCATGACAGTGCGGTCTGGATTGAGGCCGAACTCCTGGGCCACACAATCGAAGATGAATCGGCTGGGCTTACCTATGATCTCCGCCTGCCGCTGCGCAGCCATCTCCACGGCTCGGACTAGACAGCCAGTACCTGTGGAACAAGGAGATGATGGTCACTGGCCGGAGAGCGGATGGCTAGCCCATAGCCCCGGCCGCGGGGGGGGGGAAGAAGTGTCCTAGAGTGGTTGGGATTCCTCCCTTCCCGCCCAGAGGTGACGTGAGGTCAGCTGGGCACTCTCAAGCCGCAGGAGGAGCACAAGCAGGCTGTCCCTTTGCAGGCCCTTCCCCAGAATTCTGAGCAGAAGGCACGTCCTCCCCCGGCCCCCCGGGGGGCTGCAGTCCCCAGCCGGGCCCCGGGCCCCCTGCTGCGCCACTGACCGGCAATGTAGCTCCCGCCCTCCAGCGGGAGCCGGTTGTCCATGTTGGTGCCCACGAGGAGGCAGCCCGGCTGCTGGAGGTAGCGCACGGCCTTGGTCAGCTTGGCGTAGCTGAAGTGGGGGTCGAAGCCCACCACCACGGCGCCCACGCCGGGCTCCAGAGGTTCGGCCAGCCACTCTCCGGGGCCGGCGCCCCGCAGGGGCTCGGGCCCCACGCCCACGCTCGAGATGCCCATGGCCTCCAGCTCGGCGGCCAGGGCTGGGCTGCCCAGCACATAGGCCTTGGCCGGGCCCCCGCCGCCCTCCAGGCGCTGCCGGAGGTACAGGGCGGCGCAGTAGGCCGTGCCGAAGACCTCGGGGCCGGCGCCGGGCCCCACGGGGCCGCCGAAGCCCAGGCGCCGCAGCTTCTCGGCATAGGCCTCGCGGGTCTTGCTGCTGTTGTTGGTAACGAAGCCCAGCCGCTTGCCCCGGGCCCGCAGCGCGATCAGAGCCTCGGGCGCGCCGGGCACCGCCGTCTCCCCTCGCCACAGCACGCCGTCGCAGTCGAAGAGCAGCGTGTCCACGTCGGCCAGCAGTGCCTGCGCTCTGTCGGCGCTGAGCCGGACGCAGCGGCCATCGTCGCCGCCCGCCTCGGCCTCCGCCATCACCACCCGGCCCGTTCGGCCGCCTAGCCCGCCAGCCCCGGCTCCGGCCCCGGCCTACATTACTTAGAGATCTGCCCCGCCCCCAACGGCCTCATTGGGCGCGAGGCTACCGCGCGCCCCGCCCCGCCGTTCGTCAGCCAATCCTGAGCCATCTTTCCTTGTCTCGCGCGCACCGCCCCCCCCCCGTGCGGGCTGGAACGAAGCACCAACCGTCACTGCCGGCGCGTGATAGCCTACGGGATGCTGGAGCCGATTGGCTGACGAACTCGGAGTCCGTTGATGATTGGTTGAGAAGTTTCCAATCGGTGCCTGACTGGATCTCACCTTTCGCTTGCCCTTAGTTTTAATCCCTAGTAAACCTGTCACGCGGTTAGTTCGGAGTACCCGGGTAACGCTGCCTCCTAATGGTGGGATTGAAGGATTGCATGATTTCGGTCGGCCCAAGTGAAGTAATGCGCTATTAGAGCTGTTTCGTGGCTCCGGGCGGTACGATTACCCCAGGTTTCGGAGTCAAAGGAGCTGGATTCGAATTCTACCCCCCCCAATTGCCACCTGTGTTATTTGGTGCAAGTAATTTAATTTTTGCCGTCTCAGAATGTTAAATTGTTTCGGTCGTGTTGGACTCTTCATGACCCCGTTTGGGGTTTTCTTGGCAAAGAGAATGGAGTGGTTTGCCATTTCCTCCCCCAAAATTCTATGAATACTTGCCCCCAAACCCCTTCAAGAGTAAACAAAACTGAAAAGCATTACTGTAAATACTGGCTGCCCATCCACTTTATTTGTTTAGTAAGAGCAGTACTCTGCCTGCACATTCCTCCAGCTATTGGGAGTCAGAAACCTTCCCTCTGCCTCTAACCTCCCTGATATTCCGGGTTTCAGGCGACTTGTGTGTTTTCTCATAGAATTCACCATTCAGCCTAAATGGAAGCACCTCACATCACCCTGAGGTCCCCAGTAATTCAACTGTGTTGGCCAATTAGCGCAGTGCTCGTCTTTGAGAAGTTTTCAAAGCTGTCTTTATTTTTTAAATTAAACTTTATTTTCAGTTCTAGATTCTCCTCCACGTATTAAGAAGGCAAGAAATACAAAACCCATTACAGATATGAAATCATGCAAAAAAAAATTCTGCATTAGTCATGTTGCAGGGGGAAAAAAGAGAAAATTACACCTCAATCTGCACCCTGAGTCTATCAGTTCTCCGTATGGAGGTGAATAGCATGTTTTATCATAAATCTTTTGGAACTGTGGTGATCATTGTGTTGATCAGAGTTGCTAAGTCTTTCTCAGTTGATTATCTTTACAATATTGCTATTATCTTGGTAAATTATTCTCCTGGTTCTACTCATTTCACTTTGCATCAGTTTATATGTCCTTCAGGGTTTTTCTAAAACCATACCCTTTATATCATTTCTTATGGTGCTTCATATACTGTTAAGTTGTTCATTCATTCCCCAGTTGACAACCTTCCCTTCAGTTTCCAGTTCTTTGCCACCACAAAAAGAGCTGCTATAAATAGTTTTGTACATGTTCTTTTTGCTTTTTCCTTCAAAGCTAT